GGCCTGGCGTGCTCTGGTCCATGGGGTCACGAAGAGTCGGACACGACTAAACGACTAAACAACAACATCTTAGGTTAAAAAAATTCTCCCCCTAGTGGTAGAGGACGGATTAACCGATTCTGCATGAGTTCCTACGGGAACTAATGCTTTGACTTACAAACTGTGCCTTGAACAAAAAACAGCCAGAACGAATTAATCGGGTTTCAGTGCATTCCTATGGGAAACACTGATTTGACTTACAAACATTTTGACTTACAAACACCATTCCGGAATGGATTAAGTTCGTAAGTCAAGGCACCACTGTACTGTATTCCAAAGATGGGTGTACTATAGTCTTATATAAGGCAGTACAAGATTTGCTTTAAAAAAAAAAACAGAAACAAAAGCTTGAAAAAACCCTTTATTTTAATACAGGGCTTGCAATTTCCATTACAGCAAAATACAGTTTTCCAATAAGCTGTTACTTGTATACATCTGGAATATATCTGTGCTTCCTGGTCCCCAGGGTTGAATTACATTTTTATGTTCCTTGCAGGCTAAATTATATTTTTATGGGCCATGCAGGCTTCTTATAAATCACATTGTTCTGTTTTTGTTTAATGAGTAAAGTAGAATTAATAGGAAAATGGCTATCTTTGGACAGCGTACAATGAAAAACATGTTTAAATTCAGCTTGTTCTGGTGGCTAAACATTTACAACCTTAGTAGATTTTATAAGCATCTAATGTATCTGGCGGTTTACTGTATAGCTCTATGTATTGTGGTATGTGTGTGTGTGTGAGAGAGAGAGAGAGAGAGAGAGACAGAGAGACAGGACACTTGTGGTGAAAACTACCGTACTAGGTGAATTTGGGGCATAGAACATTTTTTGGTTTTCTGGCCTCCTCAACAACTTCAGTGTGTCGTTTTAATATTAATGGGTTTTCTGACCTGTTTTTATTCTCTTACTTTCAGAAATCTTGTCAGAAACCAGTGGACAAATATATAGAATATGATCCTGTTATCATCTTAATTAATGCTTGTGGTGAAAACTACCGTACTAGGTGAATTTGGGGCATAGAACATTTTTTGGTTTTCTGGCCTCCTCAACAACTTCAGTGTGTCGTTTTAATATTAATGGGTTTTCTGACCTGTTTTTATTCTCTTACTTTCAGAAATCTTGTCAGAAACCAGTGGACAAATATATAGAATATGATCCTGTTATCATCTTAATTAATGCTATATTATGCAAAGCACAGGTTTATAGACATATTCTGTTCAACACAAAAATAAACGTAAGTTGCTGAGGTTTTTCCCCTTCTGGTCTTAATTTACTGTAAAATATGTACGTCTGGTCATAAGTTCATGAATTGTTATGAAAATATGGTGTCTGGAAATGAATGTTCCATCTTTCTTTCCATGTAATAACAAGAATAAGTTTAGCTGACTTTCTTTTCTGGTAATAAAAATTGCTCTTATATCTGAAGTGAAATCCTGTTGCACAGCTTTATGTGAGCAACATTGTTTGTTTGTGTATTTATTTATTTATATCCCAGCCATCTAGACCGAAGTCTATTCTGGGCAGCCAACAACTCAACAACAACAACAACAACAAACAAACAACAATTGAAAATAGCAAATAAATTAGGCGTTGACAGAAGGCAAGGCCTGGCTAAAGAGCCAGGTTTTGAGTTGGCTCTTAAAACACCCAGTGAGGGAGCCAAACAAATTTCTGGGGGGAGATTGTTCCAGAGGCGAGGGGCCACTGCTGAGAAGGCCTGGTTTCTTGTTCTTTCTCTTTGGGCCTCCCTCAACATTAGGCCCCTCAGCCACCCATCTTGACTAAAGCAAGTGATTTGGGTAGATCTAGGTGGGAGGAGGCGTTCCGCCAGATATTGAGGTCCTAAACCATTTAGGGCTTTATATTTCATCATTAGTACTGTACTTTGAAATCAGTACAGAAACGAATGGGCAGCCAATTAGTGCAATGCACTATACCGATCTATTAGTGCAGTGCACTATTCTAAGTAGTTTATAACATGAAAAAATAGAACACAACATGAAACTATAACTAAAAACAGTTAGAGAAATAAATTCCTGTAAGAGATGTATTATCAGTAGAAGGGAATATGAGTCATGGAATCAGGCCTCTCTGAAAGCTGATTTCAAAGAGTTGGTGCCACAATGAAGAAGGCCCAGTCACCCAGAGGAGCATTGCCTGGGAGGATCTGATGAAGCGGGTAGATGACTTTGGAGAAAGATGCTCCAATAATTGCAGCAGCAGCAAATTGCTGTTTATTAGATACTTCCTTCAATGATTTTGGAGTACACACTACTCAAACAGAATATGACAAAGTTGCCTGAACCTCAAAATCACCAAAGGAAGCCTTTAAGCAGCAGTGATTTCCTCATGATGGTGTTCTTCCTGTTGCATAGATGGAACTTAGTGATAGCACACATGTTTTTGTATGCAAAATGAATCCCCACCATCTCCTGGTAAGGCTGGAAAAACTCCTGCCTGAAACCATAGAAAGTTGTTGCCAGTCGGACCAAGAGTACCATGCAGTTTAATGCAGCTTTTAAAATTCCTTTTTAGGTTTTAAAGTGGCTTTAGCTTGAAAATTAGAGTGATAAGTTTGTGATGCTCAAATTCATGGTCTTCGCGCTGACAAAAACTTTAAAATGAAATTTGCTTCTGATGCTGATGTTCTTTCATAATATAGATTCATGGGAAGCTCTGTATATTCTGTTTGCTTTGTGAAGCTTATCTCAGATGGCTGCAGCTACAGGATTCAAGCCAGAATCCTGATCCCGATGACTTCATTAGATATGCTAAAGAATGGGATTTTTATCGAATGTTTGGAATAGCATCTCTGGGTAAGATCAAATAAAAATTGTTGCTACAATTTTTTTCTGTTCTTCTGAAACCATCACTTAAATATTTTTAAATGAATTGAGTATTTTGTAACTGGTAGTGAAAAGCAGATGTGTTATATTGTTCAGCTCATTTGTCTATTTTCTCTCCCTTGACTTCACTGCATATACTTGAAGGATGCCCAATGTTCAAAAGATCACAGCATTCCATCATTTGGATGGACAAGTCATTTATGAAAATAATACAGCAGGACACTTATGAAAACAATTATTTTCAACCAGATATTTGTGGTTGGTAGAGCTGAGTCCAAAACTCCTCTTGAGCCATAAGCCCTTTGATTGCAAAAATTACTCTTGCAACAGTTTTCCTAGGTTGAAAGAGAGAGGAAAAAAGGAGGTTTGTGGTGGTCTGCAAAATACTTGCTTCCTTGTCTACATGTCCCATTGAGCATTAACCTAATTTGGAATGTGTTCTTGACAATAGGTGTGAAGGAAATACAGTGGTGCCTTGCTTAACGAGCGCTTTGTTTAACGATGAATTCGCTTAGCGATGACTTTTTCGGAGCATTTTTGTGCTCCATTTAACAATGTTTCCTATGGGCGATTTTCACTTAGCGATTTCGGGACCATGCTTTGCATAACGATTAGGTTTTTGGGTCCCCTATTTCACTTAACGATGATTTAAACAGCCTCATGTTTGCTGTTTTTTAAATGTTATAAAGTTAAAGTTTACTGTTTAAAATGTTTGAAATCATAAAGTGCACTTAATAAACCCTTTGTTAACCAAATTTGACTTTGTTCTGACTCTTTTTTAATTTGTTGTTGAATTTTTTCCCCCATTGAGATGCACTGAATGGGTTTCAATGCATTTCAATTGGGGAACTGCGTTACGCTTAGCTATGTTTCCTATGGCAATTTTTGCTTAAGGACGGCAATTTATTCCTATTGGAACGGATTATCCGGTTTTCAATGCATTTCAATGGGAAACCGCGTTTCGCTTAGCAATGTTTTCCCATAGCGATGATTTTTTTGGAACCAATTAAAATTGTTAAGCGAGGCACCACTGTGTTAGGATTCTGTTGATATTCCAAGTAGCTCTTCCACTTTTCAGTCTTGCTGCCTGAAAACTATTCCTTGATGTTGGAATATCTCTGATTACTGGGGTATTTTAATAGGTAGGCCAAGTCTTGGGGGAAAGACTGAGGGCATTGGTTGACACAATTGTTCCTCAGTGCCGTCCTTTATGCCAGGGATCCCCAGCCCCCAGAAAGGTCTCCCACCATCCCTGCATGCACTCCTGCTGCACAGTACCTTTGCGCATGTGCACAAGTGTGCACACACCCCCACGAGTGCTGCATGAGTGTGAGTGTGCACACACACGCCCGAAGCATGCCTGCCCCACGTGCGTGCTTGTGAGTGTGCACATGCACACCCTGAGCGCTCCTGCCCCTGCGCACATTCACGCAAGTGCGTGCACCCATGTAAGTGCACCCCGTGCATGTGCCTGTGTGAGCACCCCCCCTTTGTGCATGTGCAAGAGCATGGGGGATACCCTGCCTTCCCTGCAGACGGACCCTATCCTTCCCCAACCGGTCTGTGGTGTCAAAAAGGTTGGGGACCACTGCTTTATGCCATAGAGCTTATGAAAATGAAACGATTGCTAGGAGATGACTAGAGTGTTGTTGATGATAGATCCAACTAGATGTAGGCCACGTTTATGAATAGGTACTTAAAGAACACTTCATGATTTAGTTATTTTTCAAAATGGTTTGTTTCTACTTATTTATTTATTTCAGAACAAACTGCCTTTTTGATTGGCATATTCATTATTCTGTGGTCAGCAAAACCTGTAGATCTAAGAACCAAAGCAGACTTCACCTTTCTTCTGAAAGCATTACTACTGTCCAGCTATGGAAAGCTTCTCCTCATTCCAGCTGTTATTTGGGAACATGACTATACTCATTTATGCCTCAAGCTCATTAAAGTGTTTGTGTTGATATCAAACTATCAAGCAATTAGAGGTATTTTTCTGATTTTATTCTAATTGTATAACACGGCTCTGAAGTAGGTTAGGACTGGGCACAGTCCACATACAGCTGCTCAACATTTCAGGGCTTCAGCTGTGTGAAACAGAACAGAGCTCCATCAGTTAGGCTTAGCACATTATTGAAAGCAACTTGATTCAGAGAGAGGAAATTCTGATAGAAGAGAGAAACGAGTGTATCTGATAGAAGTCTTAAGTACATGTGAAATTAAACAATAGACAAAAAAAAGACAACAAAGACCAACTGTTTGGCTCTGGCATTGTAGCAGTGGTTGTGATTTGATCCAGAGGAATACCAGGTCTTGTTTCTAAGATGTTCATCTTAACTGTAACCATACACATGGGCATAATAGGTCCATTTATCCATATGTATTATGTTCCAGGTTTCCCTACAAGACTGTGTTGCCCTTGAATTTGTTTATTTTTTCATTTCTTTCACGGGAATATCCATACATTTCAGATCTAGTCTTAATGTTCTCCATTTGCTGAGTTTTTAAAAATCCATACAAAATTATTTCTGGTTCAAAAGGGATTCTGTAGCAGTGCTCAGTTTTTTTCACTGAATATTCATTTGTTTATAATACAACAAATGTATGAGAAATTTACATTACCTCACCAACACGTGTGCCTGTATTTTAGACACCAGTGGCTTGTGATAGCCTACCTCTAGCAAATGTACAAAGAAATGATATACCACAGTTATATCAACTGTGTTTTAAAGGTATTTGTTTTTAATTAATGGCAACAGTTGTGCCATATCTTGCAACTGAACTACTGTTCTTCATTAGCCGAATTTAGAGAGAGAGAGTGTGTGTTGGAGTGATAATTTGTAGATCCTACAGATCCACAATCTCTTTTTAAGCCATTAACACTGGCAGAACACTGGTGGCAGAGCCTGCTACTGCTGCACTGGGGAAGGGGCCTCCAGTGGTGAATGGGTGGGGGTGGACTTCTCTCCCCTCATGGAGTAGCCCTTCCACAACATCCAGTGGCCTCTAGGATGCTAACGTCACAAAAATTGCTGCTTGTTTTTAGAGTAGTGCGCCAGGAAAAAAGATAGCTTTGAAAAAGAAACAAGTATATCCTTTACCTCACAGATTAGGATTAGGGTCCTACCAATTAAAGTTTAAATTGACTGGTATATGGAAATAGAGTTTGCAGCTCAGGTTCAGTGTTGCTTGTTGTTTAACAAGCTGTTCTCATCAAAGCAGCCTTAGTCATAGCCATTAGTTATCATCCAGAAAAAAGTATTCATTTATTGTCACTATAGAGAATACTTTGGAAACACATCCTAGCTCAGTTTTTCTTTCTTTTGCAGTTACTTTGAACACAAGCCGGAAACTTTGTCTGGTGGCCATTTTGAACGGATTAATTTTGGAAAATAGTGTCTTCTATTTGTTCCAGAGGATAGGATGGAATCTTTTGGATAATCTTGTTCAATTAAACTAATGGTCAAAAGAATCTGAAAATGTAAGGAAAGGTGTACCTTTGAAGTCATTTACTTTCCACAGTTCACTACAAGTTATAAAGACAATCATGGAGAAATATCAAATGTAAATAAAATTATCCATATTGAACCAAGGACGATAACATACAGAACAAGAATCAAACCCAGGAAATTTAGGTATGATGCACTTGTATTTAATTTTGAAATCATACTTCAGTGTTTTTAGTACTTCAGTGTTTTTAGTTTTTTCAAAAGGTTCTCAGTGCTGCACTATCTTGGATAGTTAAAATCCATTTATGCTCCATTTTCCTACTACACTATTTTGTATTTTGCACTGGAAAAAATGAAGCTCCATTAACTGTTTCATTACAAAGACAGAAATCAGCTGACTGAAAGGAAACATAAACATTGTCCTGAGAAAACATGTGACTTCATTAGGCCTTCTCAAGTCTTTAGGTTGCCATCCTATATTTGTGTAATATTGAAGTAAGTCCCACTGCATTTCATGGAATTTCTTCTGAGCTCGTCTAGAATTGTAAGATCAGTATAGGCTGTTTTGTTGCAGCGAAAATGATCTTGGCAACAAGGTTTTATAATTGTCACTTTGAATTAAACATCATTTTCAATTTATTTGTGAGTAAGCAGGTGTAGAATTGCATACGAAATGTAATTTCATTAAGAGCTTTGCTTATATGCCATCTAACAATTCAAGTATCTAGAGAGGAAAATCTCAGTTTTTCCCATTTCTAGAAACCACATCTGTTACCTGGTACCTCACCTGTATTTTGCCAAAGTATTGCACTTCTAGAGGCAACTGCCATGTGAATAACACTCTACCAGGCCAAAGTGAGAAACCTGGTGGTTAGCTGAGCATCTCTTGAAGATTGTTTGCGTTTTTTAATGCTTTTGAACATTAGGAAAGTAGCTGAAAAACCATTGTTTTCAAAGTAAATTGTATCTGTAGCTGCACTGTGCAACACAGATGAGTTGTACTGCAGAGAGAAACAAATTTTAATATATTACCTCAGCATGAGAGAATTGATGTATTAACAACATCTGATTTCTATGAGCAAGAGTACTCAGATACTTCTTACTCTTGATTTTTTTTCAGCTAATATTTTAGTTAGCAGGGCAATTAATAGATCGTGGCAAGGTTAAACACTATTACAACTTAGGGAAACTATTAGCTGCTGCTTGAAAATTAATTGCTATTAATCTCTTTTTCCATATTTTACACATTGGAGAGGGTGCAAGGTAAAGCCCAGAAGAAAGGGTTCTTTCGACTTTGCTGTCATTTTCCATGGAAATGTGTTCACAGACATTACAGTAGTGTAAACAGTTGAGTCACAGAACTTTCAGCTACTAAATTAACAACATTGTGGTTTTGCAACATTTTATCAGAGATGGTCCACATCTATGAGGTGAAGAGTCACCTCAATCAGGATCAAGAGTGTATCATCTGACTCTCAAACAAAGACAGAAGAGCAAGAGATGGGAGTTATAGAAAGGGAATTAAGTAAATTAGAAATAAAGGAAGATACTGAAGGGGGCGCAAATCAGGCTGGAAAAGAGGAAGATTTAAAGGGGGAAGAAGGAAGGGGTGAGGTAGAAGCATGTTAGAGGAGAGAGGGAAAAGAAGAGCTTGTAGAGTTGATCCAAGAAGACCTTTGGACAGGAGAGTGGATGGAATTCTAAGTGGCCCATGTGTATGCTGAAAAGGAATGGAGACAACAATGTATAGAAGGCCACCTTACTGGGGGGAGATGGAGGAGAGAAAGCAAAAGAAAGAGTACGAAGCATGGGTAAAGAGGGAAGAACAGAGAAGAGAAAGGCAGAGATGTATAGTGAGTCCAGAGAAATCCTGTGGGCCCAACCCCTTCAGACCCTGACGGACAACAGTTCATGGCTCAATAAAGGGGGGATGCCAAGAAGATTCGACGTTCAATCCACAGGGGCAGAGAACATGCCTAAGTTAATGAGTGCCAAACCCAAATGGGCTCACAATATTACCAGTTACTCCCCGTTGTCATACCATGAAGAGATACCCAATTTTAATAATGTTAAGACTCATGATTTATTGTTGAATTTGGATAATGATAGACAAGACTCAAAAACTGATGAAGACGAGGTAAATAATAAACAAGTTTTATTGGAAGAATTGAGTGTGACAATTGCTTCTTCGGACAAAGTTAGGAAAAAGGAGGTAGATGACAGGCGGCAAGATCACAGTATCTAATCATCATGGATTCTGGTGATTAATAATTAATCAACCAATATTTCCCAAGTTACTTTTTGGTCTAGAATTGCAACTGGTGACTAAACAAGTGGGAGGTTTGTCTTTGGGCTGCCCCAAATGGTAAGGTGGTATGTGGCACCTGTGTTAGTGGCTATTGCATATCCCTGTTATGTTACATATTGTTTTAAAGTTTTATTCATTTTCAAAAGTTGCTTTGATTAGGATGAGTGGTTTTCTGCTTTTTAGGCAGAATTCTTGAACAGTTCTCTCCACCTAGAAAAGTACAGTAGATAGTGGGTCAAAGATTCTAGTATAACTTTCTTCTGATTGTCTTCAATATGCAGGACAATTTTTGTGTGGAGGAACATTTAGTTATGCAAGTCCCCATCAGCCATGAAATTGGCAACACTGCAGATCTGAAACCACATGTTAAGTAAGTTATGGTCATCTGGACCCCACATCAGAATCCATATTTACTCTGAAACAAATCACAGTAAACTCAGATGGACTTCCTTTTGATTAAGTGTGCACATGTTTGCAATCTAAACTATATAGCACAGGGGGTGGACTAACAATCAAGACTTTGTTATTGACTCTTCTTCTTACTGCACCATCTTAGGATAATTTGTATGAATTGATTTACTCCAGCAGAGACACTTCCATGGACATGAAAGAAGATATTGATTTCTTCCTCCCTAGGTATCTTTTAAATATGCTGTTCAAGCATGTGCTTTCAGTTTCTCTACAGACCAGGTTGTCCAATAAGAGGTCTTGAAGCTCTTGCTCTTCATTTTGACATTTCAGCATGGTAGCTTTTTATATACAGCGATTCTCCAAAGGCTCTCTTCTCTTTAACTGCTCAAAACAATTTAAGCAATAGCTTACGCAATTCAGATGACATAGTTACTGTTTGTGTTATAGCCTTGGTAAGTGATAGATCTCAGGTTATTTTAGATTAGCTCTGGAAGCCTAAAATGAAATTTTTGAACATTAAACATTTCTTTCTGGAATGGGAAAATAACTTAGTTGTAGATAGATCTTCCAAATGTCCCCAGCCATATTGTAAAGGCATACTGGCTCCTTAATACTTTAAAGAACTGGAAACAGAGGAAGGATTGGGCTATCAATTTAGACCAAATGTGCGCAACTGTGGCCTTACAGATGTGTTTTACCTACAATTTCCCACACACCCTAGCCAGCTGAGCTGAATATGATGGACTGTGGGAACTGCCATCTGGAGGGTCACAGTTATCTACTCCTGTCTTTAAGATTATACTAGCATTAAATGATAGATTTTTCCCTACAGTATTCTTGCTTGAGGGCGTGGAGAGATCTCAAATATCGCCTTCTTTGTTTTAAACTGCAAACATCTTAACAATTCTGATTGTTCAAATTTGTTGGAGAAGACCATTAAATATAGTAAGTTATATGTAGTTTGTCCCAAAGAAATTTATACTGACTTTTGAAATGCTAACATAAGAGAGAATCACATTTTTGACATAAGAGGGAAGTCCACAGCAGGAGGACATTTTCTTCCCTGAAATGCTGCTGTCTTTGCGAATTTCCAAAGAATGCCAAATGAATGTAGAAACAGCTCCAAGCAACATGTTGTGCAATCTGAACTTTGAGTTGTTTCACAGGAATGTGTTTTCAGCATCAGGATTTGCATTTTACAGATAAGTTGGTATGTTATTAAGGAAGCTAATTCTCTTGCTTTCTTTGGCAATGTATAAGCTCCTCAGTAGTTCAGGGCTGCTGAGTAAACAATTTCGTAACACAGCCTTAAAACGTTTACTCAGAGCAGAAAGGCTATACTGTCCTATGTTGGTTCATTGAATAAACAACTATAGTGCAACATATTTTCATCTCCATCAATCCTAGGGAAAAATGAGTATTTTTTTAATTGGTAGCCATTTTAGGGTTGAGTTAGGCATAGTTTCCTGTAAGCAAGCAGAAAATCTCTTCCCATATGTCCTTTGTATATCCAGAAAGCTTAGCTAAATTGGATCAAGACTGTCCCACCATGACCAGAGCTCAAAATGCTGCTTTTTAAAAGGAACTCATTATGTTACTACTTTGGACCATCAGGAGTTTGCTAAGTTATCCCTATCTGCAAAAGTATGGTTCCAAATGTTAACTCTTTTGGCCTCCTTACATATCACCATTTTAACATCCTGGACTATGAGGAGTGAGTTGGACAAATAGCTGTTTTGTGGGAGATACATTCTGACATATGGAGGTGCTAAACCATTAAGGGCTTCATAGGTCATGACCATTACCTCGAAATGGACACAAAAATTAAAAGGGAGCCAATGAAGGCATGCCAAGACAGGAGATATGTGTTTGTATCTGCTATTATCAATGTTTACTCCGGTTATCACATTTTGGTAAATGTGGTATTTTCTCTGCTGAATTTTCCCTACCAGCATCAAGGGCAGCCCTACATAGAGAGTGTTACAGTAGTCTTAGAGATTACCAGTGTGTGAACCACTGTAGGTGCTGTAAGAAAAGATGTGGAGTATTTAAAGCTTGATATTTAAAGCCCTGTAGTCTGTTTATTGTTTTAAGATATAACGATGACGAAGAGTTTGTGGGCTGTCCAACTGGGGTATCAAATTGAGCTTATTACTATTTCACCCTGACTGGCATCTAGGTTTCCTCAGAAGAACAACACTTTAATTCCCCATTTTAAAAATACAGCTATTCCTTCTTGAAAGCTCAGATTGTCTTTATCCAATGCAAAGCTCATACACTCTTTATAAATAAACACTAGAGCCTTACTCACAGTCTTTCAGGTGATAAGGCTGGCGATTATATAAAGCCAGTAAAAGCCAAACAGGTACCTACCTTTACTGGAGATGAACTGTCAGAAAATGAAATCTTGGTTCCTGGTGGTATGAAATCCTTTGCTCCATTCCTCTGGGGATGGTGTTATGGAATAACAGTAGTGTTTTTAGGACTATTTGCATGATGTGTCTAACCCCACCCCTTGTTCCCACTTTATATAATTGTAGGGTTAGGCTGGCCATGAAAGAAAACGCAGCTATTACTGAATATTGCTGCACTGCCAGTACTACATCTTCTCTAAGGCATATGACTTTTAGGATTTACTTGAGTGACCTTTATGTATCTGGAGTTTTCTATTGTTATTTAACAGATGAAATCATCTCCTGAATTTTTGTTTTATTACAATTCACTGTTATGTAGTATAGTTTGCTGCTTGTAAACTCCTTCATAAAACAAAGCAGCCAATATAGCAAATGCTTCATTTGAGACGGTCAAACCGAGCCTGAGAGCTCATCCATGCTATTTTTTTCCTAAGAGGGGGTTAGTTGCCCATTGTATTTGAACTAGTTAAACTTTGACAGATCCATATGACACTACAGCAGATTCAAATCAAACCTTCCTATTTCCATTTCAGGTTATTTTCCCTTGCTTGGGATTTTTTTGAGGTTTGTGTGTATTTTGTTTTCTTTTAGCAGTTATTCTGCCAAAACACAACAATGCAGGAATTGCATTATTCCAAATCTGTTATCTCCTTTGTTTTGGAGAAGCTTAGTTCCTGTGGGAGCATGTAGAATTAGAACTCCTCTAACATCAGCAGTAATGTCATCTGTGGGAGCATCCTCAACACAGAGCCTGTTGCCTTTTGCTGACTAAATAGGAGAAGGGGTTTTCTCCCCAGCACTGCTGCCTCTCATCTTCTGCTTCATGCCTGACAGGATCAATATAAACAGGACGGTGTTTTATCCTGCAGAGAAAAACAAAGAGCTAACAAACTTTTCTATGAAAAAACTGGATTATGCTCAAGGAAGAAGTGAAAAAGCTGTAGAAGCTTGAGTGACTGATACCAGATGTATGGGGGTGGGGGAGAGACCATGGTTCCAACCAACATAAATTTGAGCTATGTATCTGTCTGGATGGACCTTAATTTAACTAAAAAAAGAAAGAAATTAGTGGAACTAATGACTATCAGTCACTACTAATAGTCTACTGATTTCCAGGACTAGAGCTCAGCTGACCTACAGAGCAATTATATACACAAATTATACTATCTGAGAGGCCCCGACATTTGGCAGAAACCCTGATATTCAAGTAGAATGCAAAATATATGAGCATGAAAGATATACCAGTGGAACACCATTGGCATATCTGTTTTAGCTTTAAAGAGAATGGTGGATGGATCAAGAGTCAAGACACGTCTTGGATGGGCCAGCTGAATGGGTTCAGAGCTAGTAACTTATTTCTTCCTACTTGTTTATATTCTCTGAACTGTGAAGATGCATAGTCGTAGGGCCATTTAGTATTGGCAAGGTGTATTGGACAGAGTGTCTTACCCATTTACCAGATTGAAGGGGATCAGAAAGGCTGGAGTCATGGAGTTGGTTCATCAAGTCCTCCTGATTGGTTCAGTTGTGCCTGCTTGTGTCCTCCTTCCCCTTTGGTGGAGTTTAAACTAATACATCATGTTTCCCAAACCTATACAGCCAGTCACTGTAGATTATGCTGCCAATGTACCTTCCTTGCATGTCCTGGTCCTTTCCTTTGTTTAGCTAGCAAAAAGGTCTTTCTCTGGTTCTTGTCCTAAGAGATTTATATCTGCTCTTTTACAGCATTCTGCCCAAGCAGCAATGCTGTGCTTCTTTACAGTGTTTGTGAAATGACTAATGCAGGGGCATCACTGCCTGAGCCCTAGGGCAGATAGATTGGGAGCACAGCAACCCTAATCACCTGAACATGTGAAAAAGAAAACAGGCTAGCCCCATGCCTTCTGTTATTACTCTCTTCACTTGCAGGATGATAGTCAGAGGGAAAATAGTGCCCTTCTATACATGGAGCCTCTCTGCACAAGCAAAAATTCTGATTTTTCAGGGTTCTGTATCATGCCAGGGTTCTCTGGTGGACTTAGGCAGTGTTTTGAAGGACATGGGGTAGGTAGACCTACTATCCTAAGCTGCCCAGAGACCTTTGGGTAGAGTGGGCAGCATGATAGATAGATAGATAGATAGATAGATAGATAGATAGATAGATAGATAGATAGATAGATAGATAGATAGATAGATAGATAGGCCCATTTTGAGTGTTGAGCGTTTTCTCTTATTCCATACCATCTAAGCTGTTAATATATTGCGTGTGCTGGCCATTCTGTGGACCAGTCCTTTGCCCTTTCACACCTGGCAATCCTTCCTAACATTGGCTTCCTTGTTTACAAAGCATTCTTAAGTAATAAAGCTGAACAGGGTTTGCAGATATTTTCTTGTAAAAGTATGGCACAGATTCCAACGTAAATGTTCAGTGAATTTTAGCATGAAGAGTCAGTAGAAAAAGAAGTTGCTTACTGTAACTCTGGTTCTTCGAATGATCATCTGTGAATTCACATTAATGGGTTTAGTGTGCCTGCGCAGAGAAACCTAGGAATATTCTAGAGTTTAAGCACATGGTGCCTATAACTTAAGCACATGGCTGCCTATGACCCCGCTCCAGCACCGAGTGCCTCAGTTCCATAGAACAGTCTGCCGCTGCCCAGCATGCAAAAGGCATATGTGACAGACAGTGGGGCAGATGGGCAGGAAGTGTGAATTCAAAGATGACCATTTGAAGAACCAGAGTTACAGGTACATAACCTCTTTTTCTTCTTTGTGGTCTCTGTGAATGCACACTAATGGGTGACTAGCAAGCTGACTTACCCGAAGGAGGGACGTCACAAGAGCACAGAGGCCAGGACGGCACGACGTACAGCGGTGTCAGCCTTGGCCCGGATGTCCAGTTGATAATGGGTTGCAAAGGTAGATGGGGTAGCCCATGTGGCTACTTTGCAGATGTCAGAGAGGCCCACCCCTCTGAGGAACCACCATGGAGGAAGCCACAGCCCTGGTCGAATGGGGTCTGAGGAACCGCCATGGAGGAAGCTACAGCCCTGGTCGAATGGGCCTTCAGGGTGTATGGCAGGAACATCTGGGCCAGCTCATACGGCAGTCGGATATAGAAACAATCCACCTAGAGATCATCTGGGATGTAACTGGTGCTTCCCTGGAATGACCTTGATAGCTGACAAACAGCCTGTTTGAAGTGCAGAAGGATAAGGAGTGAGAGACGTAGTAGGAGTGTGCCCACTTGACATCCACGGAGTGCAAAGAACGTTCCAGAAGTGGAGTTGGTGCAGAGGAAAAATGTACGTAGTACAATAGGTTGGCTTAAATGAAAATAGGTGGCCACCTTAGGCACAAAGGAAAGGTCCAGATAGAGTGTCACCTTGTCCGGGTAGAACTGAAGGAAAGGAGTGTCCACTCTAAGAGCAGCCAGCTCTCTTGCCTGACGTGCAGAGATTATGGCCAGGAGGAAGGCAGTCTTCAGAGTGAGCAGCCGTTCAGATGCTGTAGCCAGGGGTTCAAACAGAGGCCTCATGAAGTGATTGAAGACTAGCTGAAGGGACCACTGTGGGGTAGGAGGTTTATAAGTTGGATGCATGTTCTTCAAGCCATGTAAGAACCATTAAAGAGCGGGATGGCGGAACAAAGTTGCTGCTTCTGAAGAGTGCGGCTGATAAGCCACTACTGCCGGCATATAAACTTTCAGTGTGGAATGAGAAAGGCCACACTGGAAAATATGGCGGAGGAACTGGAGGACCATATCAAGAGAGGTCGGTTGTACAGGTACGTGGTGTGAGGATGTAAACATACAAAAGACTTGCCATTTGTAGGAGTATATCCATGTAGTAGAGCGCTTCTGCGCATTGGTTTAAGATGTCCCCTACAGTGGGGGAAGGCTCCACGCCATTAGGTGAAGGCAGTCTAAATCTGGATGAAATGTCCTGCCGTGATGCAGGGATAGCAAGTGGGGAATTGCTGGGAGATGGAGATGGTCCACTGCTCTCTGCTGCAGGGCAGAGAACCATGGCTGGAAGTCCCTTGTTGTCGAGTGCCCACTCGTGGCTGCCAGACTGGAGCCTGCTGAGATGACCCGCTAGGGCATTCCCCTCTGACACCACATGGACTGCCACTCCCAGAGTAGGACGACCAGATAAAGAAGGGAGAGAAAATGAGTGCTCCCGTTTATTGATATAGAACATGGTCATCATGTTGTCCGAAGCCACCTGAAGCACACGGCCTACAATTAGCTGTTTCAATGCTCGGAAAGTCTTGATGACTGTGAGCAGCTATAGGAGACTGATGTGATGTCGAACCTCGCTCAGGGACCATAGGCTGCGAACCTACAGTGTTTCATGTTTCCACAGTGCATGCCCCAGCCTATTGGGCTAGCATCCATGATTAGTTGAATCAATGGAGCATGAAGGACAAATGACCTCCCCACCACGAGATTTGAGGGACGTCACCAAGAGGCCAACTGGTGGACGCCAGCTCAATGGTGACTTCGAGTGGTTCGGATGGGGGACTCGACTACTGTGTCCTGGACCCATTTCAGCCGGGCTTCAGGCCACGTTATGGTATGGAAACGGCAATGGTCGCACTGCTGGATGACCTGTTGAGGAAGGCTGATAGGGGCAATATGTCCTTGTTGGTCCTCCTTGACATCTCAGCTGCCTTTGATACCGTTGACCACGGTATCCTCCTGGGGAGGCTCTGAGTTGGGAATCAGTGGCCTGGCGCTTGCCTGGCTCCGTTCCTTCTTGGAAGACCGTCCCCAGAGAGTACAGCTTGGGGAGGGTGTTTCGGCCCCGTGGAATCTCAACTGTGGGGTTCCGTAGGTGTCAATCATCTCTCCAATGCTGTTCAACATCTACATGAGGCCACAGCTCTACATCTCCTTTTCATCTACCTCAGTGGATGCCGTTCTGTCCTTCCAGCACTGTCTGGAGAATGTACTAGAATGGATGCAGTTGAATGGGTTGAGGCTGAACCCAGACAAGACACAGGGCTTGAGGGTGGGTGGTCCTTCCATCAGTGGCGTGGGTGACTCCCTCTTTTGGGGGGTCGACCCTCACCGCAAAGAGTGACGTTCACAGCTTGGGGATACACCTGGACCCGGCGCTTACCATGGAAATCCAGGTAGCGTATGTGTCCATTCTGCCTATTTTCACCTGTGGTGAATTGCCCAGCTGTGACCATACCTTGATGGGGGGGCTCACTACTCTTGTCCACGGGCTCGTAATCTCGAGATTAAACCACTGTAATGCGTTCTACGTGGGGCTGCCTTTGGGATTGATGCAGAAACTTCAAATGGTGCAAAATGCGGGAGCCAGGCCCCTTAGTGGGGTGAGGAAATATCAGCATATCTCCCCTACCCTGGCTGCTCTGCATTGGTTGCCCATTCATTTTGGCATTGATTTCAAAGTTTTAATCATGATGTATAAAGCCCTAAACGGTTTGGGACCTTGATACCTGGCAGATCACTTTCTCCCACCCAGGTCTACTCGAATCACCCAACAAAGCCAGCAGGGACGGCTGAGAGGCCTTATGCTGAGAGGGGCCCGGAAAGAAAGAACAAGAAACTGGGCCTTCTCGGCAGTGGCCCCTCGGCTGTGGAATAATCGACAGCTTGTAAGAACCTCCCCTAAGCAAAACAAACAGTGGGAATGCCCATTCAAGAGGGTGATTTTGTTGGAGCAGGTCTCACACCTCTTGAAGAGGCCTGGAGTGGCCATAAACAAAATTATGGCTCTTTCACACCAACAAATAACAGTCCATTGTTGTTTTTAAACTCACAGAATAATTGTTGAACAGTTCAAGTCAGAAATCCGGGAGGTCCAAGAAAAGGGTAAAGGTGTTTTGTTTTGTTTTTTTGAGAGAGAAACAGAAAGCTCCTAACTGAGATGCTGCTGCAGCGGCGGCAAGAAAGGAACTGAGGCACTCGGTGCCAGGTTATAGGTAGCATGGGGAAGGTTCCAGAACAATGTGCTTAAGCTCTAGAGTACTGTATTCCGAGGTTTCTCTGTGCAGGCACACTAAACCCATTAGTGTGCATTCACAGACACCACGAAGAAGAACCAAACATTCTCATATTCTTGCATGGAAAAACACATCCCTATGGTACATGTAACTTTGTATCTATTTGCGGAGAAACCAAAGTTTTTCACAGCTTCCAATCACCTATACAGTATCTGTAACAAAATCATCTCATAAATTCCCATCCTTTGTGAGGTTTCCTGAATGTTTCTGTGTGGAAATATCTTCTGTGCAGAAGTTTGACAACATGGACTTGCTTCTCACTTTGTGTCTTTATTTTAATCTACAGGACAAGCACATGAGTGCATGTCGTTTGATATTTCCAAGCACTGATTCACACTTACAAATTAAGTTTTATTAAAAATTTTAATAAATTATAGTTTGCTTGAATTTTCAGTCACGGTAGTATAAAAACAAAGCCTCCTACAATACCCTACAAATTCTTTGCAGGTGCTCTGATTGATATAAAACAAGTTCACAGTTTATCATCCAAACATTAAAAATAGTATAAAATACTGCTGGGTTGATCTCCATTATGAAACTTCCTCATGTTTCTTGAACAAGTCACTAAGTTAATTGTATGAGCTTGTGATAGTGCAAGCCAACAGTGAGGCAGACTGATTTGCTTTTATTGGATTAAAAATATATAGTGTTTTAAAAAAATGAACTTGGATTATATTGGTTTAAATAGCTACAACATATACTAACACATGGTAACAAAATGGAAAGTGAGCTGAATCATAGATGGGAAAAGTTAAACTCACTGATGTCTGAAAGCCTTAGGACAAGAAAACAGGAAAGAGTATTTTTGAATGATACAAGACATTGCAAAACCTATCCAGTGTGGTAGTGTGGTAGACATATATCTGTGCCATACATCTAGATTTCTAACATGTTTTAAATAAAAAACAGAACAGGTATAATGTTTATGAATACATGCACTCTCTAGTTATAGCTACCATTCTATCAGTATACGCCAGATGCCCTGGCTTCCTTGTGTGAGCCAAAGTTACTGTGGATAGAGTGCTCTTTGCCAGTCTGTGCAACCTGGAAACACCCAATGCACAAATCATACTGACAGGGTCTGTCATATGAACTAGAGGGTACTTTAAAATTTGTTGCAGAATGCTTTTCTAAAGCAGGAGTCAGACAGTGTGTAACGTGGGTTGACAGCATGCCAGAAATAAATGGGTTGCAAAGCAGCAGAGCATCCTTTCTTTAGCACAAAGTAGGAATGCACTTAGAGGTCCAATTAGACTCTGATGATCTCACAGCTCCAAGCCCCATCCATGCTCTGCTCCTGGGAAGAGTTCTGTGTTCTTAGAAATATTCCTCCTCTTCATCAAAAAAGCCGTTTTCCAGTGCATATGCACAGTCTGCACTTGATACAGCTTGACAGGCACCTTTATATTCTTGAATTGATTCATAAAGGGAGTACAGTTGACACAATAATGACATATCTAGCTGCCGGAGACCAACCTTGAAGAAAAGAAAGCCCATTAGTATTTATGACTTAATTTTATTCCTAAAACACAACCCTTGCACATTTTTCCTTTGCACAATACAGTGGTGCCTCGCTTAACAGGCGCCCCGTTTAACGACGAATCCGCATAGCGATTAAGTTTTTGCGATCGTTTTTGCGATCGCATTGCGATGTTTCAAATGGTAAAAAATCGCTTTGCGATGATCGGTAAGCTGTTTCGCTTACTGATTTTCGCATAGCAATGTTTTTCTCACAGCTGATCGGCGGTTCCAAAATGGCCACCGGTAAAAAAAATGGCCCCCCGCTGTGTTTTCGCGCTGATTCCTCGCTTACCGGGCAGCGAAAATGGCGGCTGTATGGAGGCTTTTCACATAACTGTGAGTTTTTTGCCCATAGGAACACATTAAACGGGTTTTAATGCATTCCTATGGGCTTTTTTATTTTGCATAGCGACGATTTTTCCGGAACGGATTATCATCGCTATGCGGAGCACCACTGTAATTTAATGTGGTCAGTTTCGTATCTGACAATTACCTAATACAGCAAGATAATCACTTTGGAAATTCTACCCTACTGAAACAAGAAACAATAGCAGTGAGGAGTAAACTATGCAGTGTGGCAAGGCATTCCTGATGCTTAAGTCACAAGGCTAAGGCCTCTTTAAGGGCAAAACAGCTACATAAACCTCAGCTGCTGACTAGATGTGTCCAGAAAAGACTTAGAACTGAGTCATTGCCAAACTCCTGTAAAGCAGGCAAATGTGTGTGATCTATAGGTTAGCATCAGTTGGCAGGACTACTGGATCTCTGGCCCCTATGTTTCTGCTCCGTAACCATATTTCTCCTGATGGGAGTCCCAATCATAGGGACACACTAAGACAGAAAGCAGCTTCATGGGAGAAAATGAATAAGCAAAAGAACAACATTCAGCACTCTCCTTCCAACCATCTTGTGCTTGGAATTCTATCCCCCAGGTGACAGAAAATCAGTGCAACCTGATTCTGACAAAATAGGGAGGCCTGTCACATCTAACTCTCTCCTCAGAGAGCACTCATTTTGATACATTTCTCATAAACTGCCTATGGAAACCAGCCAGCTATCACAACATTTCTGTCCCTTTCACTCCATCCTTCCTCATAGGCATTTAAGGGAAATATATGCAGCTTTTTGATTTTTTAAAAAGTACATAGGAAGTACATTATTAAAATGTTCTAATGCAAACATTTATATTATTGAACTGAATTAAATACAGCAAAGAGAAAAGCAAAACTAAGCAGATCCCTTCTGAAACATAAATCCCTGTACCACAGCAATACATTGCTTGATTCAATTTTTGCAAAAAAGAAGACGCATTATTACCAGACATTAAGTCTGCTTTTTCCCCTTTCAGTGTGAATCTAATGACTTCATTTGCTCATCAAAACAAATCACCTGCTTCCTGCTAATGGGTAAAATTAACTTGCAAGGTTGGCCTTGCAGCAGAACAGCTGGTGTTATAATACAGCTAGGTGCATATCAAGCAACGCAAATGGTAATGCATCTATAAGAAGTAAACAACTACTATTGGCATGGGAGTGGCAGAGTTAAGAATGAGAAGATGCTTAAATGTAAGGTAAACATGTAAGTCCGTCTGGCAAGATGGCAAAACAGACAATAAAGGTAGGTATCTCTCAATATACAACTTCATTTTACATCTGAAAGATCCAAGGAAGATAGATGGCAAAGGATGTTCTCCCATCTACTTGCCACTCGGATATAATCTCTGCATTAATCACAAATTACAGCCTTCAGAAGACTGTAATTTGTATATATATATTACTTTGGCTATCAGGACTAGTGTCGAAGTACCAATTGTCTACAACCCACTTTGGATGAAAATTCAAGTGAACTAGCAATAGTAGCTATTGGGACCTGCTGATATGGACAGTAGAGTGATTGAAAGGAGAATTAAGCAAAATGTCTTCTCTTCATTGGGACTATTATTTGCCCTGGGAGCACCATTACCCCGTACTTATGGTAGTTACTGTGTCTGCTTTGAAGATAGAAAATACCTTCACATAAACATTTAATCACCCACGTAGTTTGGTCTGAATCCTAACTTTGCAGCCAATCAAGGCAGCCTCACCTGTGATACATTTTAAAGCTTTTTCAAGGAGGCTACCTTAGACAATACCTTAATTATCTAGAGGTCTGTTTTGGGCCATAATTTAAAGTAGCCTTAATGACCTATAGAACTTGGGACCAATCGATTCGAAAGAACAAATTCTTCCACACAAGTTTGCCTATTTTTCAAGATCTCTGGTCTTGGGGGTGGGGGAGCATTTCTTTTGCTCCTGCAGCCACTGGAGCCATATCAAGCACTGGGCACAAGAGACCTCTTTTTGGAGGCCATTCCCAGGTTCTGGAACGCCTGCTAAGGGCTGATTGAGTGTATCTAGATTTGAAACTAGGACCTCCGTGTGTCAAACTTATATGATCCACCGGGTTACAATTTCATTTCCAACCTCATTGGTCCCTATACAAGTGGCTGGCTCTGTGGCCATTCGTAGATCTTTTGATTAGAAGTGGCCCATGAAGACCCTCTCTTTATTTATGTTTATGGAATTAGATGTCTGCCCTGTGGAGCCTGTTCTACCAGTTCTATGCCTCTCTTTCTCTCCTGCCCACACTTTTTGGTTGGCTGACATCCCAAAGGTGAGTGTCGCCATCTAAGTCCTGTTTCCTGTTCAGTAACCAGGGAGGTCAGAGGAGTAGTTCCTGATGAAATGTGCAGCTGTGGTTTCACTCTTGCATGTCCTCGAGGGTGCCTGTCTGTATCTGACCCTCTCATGCACAAGAACTGTTTCCTCTCAGAGGGGTTGTTAAACAAGACTTAAAATTCTTGTCCAGAGGAGGCCAGGGGGGTCACCATGCACACCTTCCCCCTTGTGATATGAGTGACATTCCAGGAATGCCCATCCTTCCTGACCTGGCCTTCCTGATATGTGACTATATGTGAAGAAGAAGGACATTTGAACACCCCTCATAGTTATCCCCACAGTGTTGCTTACAGAATGTTCATATATCTGTCCAATTTACACTTTATCTGTGGGGTAAAGCAGTGATGCCATAGACATATTCCACCATCACTACACGGATACTGTTTCTCCACCACCACAGGTGACTAATCTAAAAGTAGCCCTGTGACAGTGAATGTTAGCAATGTTTTAATGAATGGTAGTGTGGGCAGGGAGACAATCTCTTAATAAAATTGTTATTAACTTGCAAGGCTGACCTTGCAACAGAACAGCTGGTGTTATACTACTACTCTGTGCTTTTAAGTCATGTCATTTTGATATTTATTTTGCTGGTGGAAGCACACAGGACCCTAACTAAAACCTCTACATCCTCTCTCCATCTGTAAAAACCACATATGGCGGGGATAAGAAATGTGTGTCCCATCAGATGTCAAATGACAATGCCCATCATTCCTCGGAATTTTCAGTGCATGTTAACGAACATTGTGGTGTTGCAGTCTGACAAGATGTAGAGGGATAGATGTAATCCACCTCTGATGTTCAGGATACTAGAACCACCCCGGAAATACTTCAGAGATAGAATAAACTTTAGTCACCTATTCAACTAGGACATGTTTGGAATGATTCCATGCTAGGCACCTACATAAGCTGAAACATCAATTTTAGGGAATCTTATCAATTGCTACAACTTCCTTTCATTAGAAGAACACAGAAAGACGACTATTCCAGTTAATCAAGGTGTGTCAAACAGTGTAAATCACTGTTGTTTTTTTGGAATTTTATATCACAGATGCTATGTACCTAATAATTAAATCTTGTTTCACTGTGAGCAAAATAGCTTGTTTACCTTGATACTATACTTGTTTCTTCACTAAAGACATGTATGCCTTTCCAAACAAGAAAACTTTTTAGACTGTAGATTTTTAAACAATTTTAGTGGAAAATGAAATAACTTGCTGCCAACCAGAGCACTGTTTAAGACAAAGGAAAATTCATGCTGAATATTCAAAATGAGTTTTGTGACTTCTTTATTTGCTTACATTGGAACTATATCTTATAGTTCAGTTTTCATTAAAGGTTACAAGCCAATATAAATCCACTGCTGTAAGCAGACTTGTATATAACCTTAGAAACAACCCTAGCAAAGCAAAGCCCATTAAGCCAATTAACCCTCATTTCAGAAGAGAAGCCAAGTCAAAGATGGGAAAGAAAGAGCTTGCCTGCTTCAAATCACGTTCTTTTAAAAGAAGAATAAAACAATTCAGACCCAAATTCTAAAGACAGATTTTGTGTCTGTGGGCACAGACTAGGAGAGGAGTGGGAGGGCAGATGAAAAAGGTGTTTTAAAAAGTGAAAATATCTCCCAGCTTTAATAGAATTTCTAGAGAAGCTGAAAGTTTAAGCTATATCTATTTATTTTAAGAGGAAAACAGTTTTTTTAAGAGGAGGATAAAAGAAATGAGGATATAACTAAGAAAAAATAATAGGCTGACTGCACATTTTCAAAACATAATTCCGCATTTCTCAGCAAACAAACAGCTTGTGGCTTATTGAACTTTTTTTAATTTATGTTGCATTTTTCTTTCTTCCACATGAGGAGTATTTCAGCTGCAATCCTAGATTTGAATTAGATTAAGCAACAGCTCTGGCAAACAAAAAGTCCAGGGAACAGCATAGCTGCTTCCATCTGAAGCAGCTTTGAGCTTTCTAGAATGATAATCCCCCTCACAGCTTGGCAAATTCCTTTTAAAACTAAAGTGAGTTTTTAAAACTGTTTGTGACAGGACATTGCTATCTGCTTTTCATGTGATATTTTTTCCCAAACATTCTACTGAATATGCTCAAGGTCTTCAATACAGAGGTTTGGGGGACCCGCCCTAGCCATAAGGATTCATTCTCATTAAGAAATGCAGCTCCTTCTCCTTTCATTTATGAAATAAAAGGAGGTTTATATACTGCCTTTGAAGCCTACTAAGGGCCCACAAGTCAGTTCAAAATTTAAACCTTACAATTAAAAGACAGCATGAAAACAGATCAACGGAAGATCTGAAAAATGAGCCCAAAATAGACTAAAAGATTGGCAGAGAAGATTACTATGAAGAGGCGAATTTTACCTTGGACAGGTATTGAACTATCAAGGTGCTTCCTCTTATGTCTGTATTGCCTCCTCAGAACTGTGAGGCCATGGTGATGCAGCATGGCAGTATTTTCCTCTATTAGGCAGGGCAGGATAAGCATCTCTCAAGCGCAAATGTGGTTTTGGAGCTTAAAGAAAGACAGCAGCTTGTCTTCAGACATCTATTGAGGTCATGCCTGATGTGAGATTTGAACACGAAACTTCCCTACTCATGGCTCATGCTTTGAGTCACAGTGCTATTCAGTACGCAGGAGAGGCACAATAAATGGGGAACAAAAAAACAAAACCTGAAAGTATTGTGACACTGTTGAGGCTAACCAGTTTATTTCATTGTGAGCTTTTAGGTATCACTGTCTACTTCTGTAAGTACAGAAGAAGGTACTGGGTGCAAAGAGGTGGAGTGCAATCTGCAAAAGCTTGCAATGAAAGAAATGCCCTAACCTTAAAGGTACTGCAATGCTTTTTTTGAGGGTGATGGTTTTTGTTTGTTTGTTTTGGTTGCTTCCTCTTTGAAAACTGGAGAATTGAAGCCAATTTAAAAAAATCTGTGAAGATTCTCAGCCATCCAGGTGAGGTTACCTGGAAGTTGAACCATGGCAACTGGACTTCTTTCTTATTCGGTTGAAACATCTGGCTACTCAGACTGAAGAAGCTACTTGGATGAGTAGCGAAACGTTTCAACCGAATAAGAAAGAAGTCCAAGACTCAACTTCCAGATACTTTTTTAAAAAAAAAGTCTATCTCAAACTTCCTCAACTATTTTCACACCCAGGCAACCTGCCATCTCCGACCCCACCGCAAACGAAATGCCAGAAAAGTTTCCAGCCATCCTTTTCTAGATGCGGCCACCGTTTTAGCTTGGAAATCTAGTACTTCAAGCTGGACGCCCTCGTATTGCCGTTACTGAAAAATGCCATATTTTGGTGCTACGTGTCTGCTTTGGTCAGCACAGTTTTAAAACGAGAAAGCAGCTAACGTAGCCATGATATATAGACTGCCGAGCCGACATTTTCAAGAGCTGCCCGCCTCACACGGTGGCTCCTCTGCAAGGTGTGAAGAAGCCCTCAGCACTGAAGGAACGGCACTCTTCGCATGTTCAGAGGCGCTCCTCCTCCAGCCCTGTGCTGGGCTCGCCGTCAGGTCTCCAACTGAGCAGCTTAACAAAACAGTTACACGGACGAGGGGAAACGGGAAGGCCATATAAAAATTGCCACCTCGGGGCCCAGAAGGCTCCGGTTTCTCGCCACGGTGCGCCCGAAGAGTTCCCGGCCCCTCCACCCAGCCTCCGCGGGTGACTTACCATCTCTTTTCGGAGCAGAGCCAAAGCGGCGTCGAGGTTGGGGGGCTTGGGCGGCCGGGGGGAGCCTCGGCCCCCTCCGCCTCCTCCGTTCCGGCTCAGCTCGTCTTGGATGCGGGACTTCTGGGCGTAGAGGCGCTCCAGGTCACGCCAGCGGCCCCCGGCGCCCCCCGGGCCGCCCCCGCTGGAGGACGAATTCAGCAGCCCGCTGAGGCTCTTGGGCAGGGGAGGCAAGCCCGACCCGACGCCGCTCCCGGGCAGCCCCGAGGCGCTCATGCTCCTCCTCAAGCGGGGGGACGGGACCGGCTGCCCGACCGACCAGCAGCCGTTCGCCTGAGGGGAACCAAGCAAATCCGGAGCGAGAGCAGCTCCGTCTCGCCTCCCTGCCAGCGCCGAGGACAGAGGCAGCCTCCCCTTTCGGTCGGGCTTTACGCGGGGCCCGCCTCCTCCAGCCGGCCTCGCCCCGCCTTCTCCAGGCCTTCGCCGCGGGACGGCCATGAAAGGAAACGGGGAGGGGTTACACGAGGGCGAGCGGAGGGGAGGGGAGAGGAGAGGAGAGGAGAGGCGCCGGCCCTCAGGGGGTAGAGGGAGGAGGCGGGAAGGAGGGCGCGGCGAGCGCTCTCCAGCTGCCCGCGCCGGAGTTACACGGAAATATATCTGTAAGTAGTGGTACAGCCCCCGAGGGCAGCAAATCAAGGAAAACTTTTTTTCTTACGATTTTTTCTCTCTCACGGACTCCTTTTTCCTTCCAGTGGAAAGCTTGGAAATAAAGGGGGAGGGGAGAGTGCTATGAAATATTTCCTCTTTTGGAGGAAAAACAGCCCACTTGTATTAGTGTAATACCCGTGTTCACCAAAACGTCACGCGCCCACAAGCGCACGAAATGTCTCAAAAGCTCGCACCCTTTTAAGGACGGTTGGCCTTTGTCTGGAGTGAGCGTGCTTAGAACTACTTTGCAAATTACCAGATGGTACCATTTATCCACGAGGTCTTTCATGCTCTTAAAGAACTATTGCACTTTTTTAAAAAAAAGGTCTGCTGTTAATTTTTGTCCTCTATTTGCAGGGGGCTGAGGCAGTGTTTTGATCCTCTACAAGGAAACATTGTAACAAACTGTTGGTTTTTGTGGTCCCAGAGTTTCCAGAAATGTTATGTGCATCATCCTTGGCACTTGGCATCTGACCAGGATGCTAGCAATCAACATAGCAGGAGAGATCAATAAGGTATGTGCAGGTATGTCTGAAGTAAAAGAGGAGAGGCATCAGTGGGAAGGGAGAGTTTGGGGTGTTTAGCACAGGAAGATAATGTTTGTCCTGATAGCTGCATATGTGCAACTGGGGGAAGTCAAAGGATCACACAGGTGAGACACATGATCAGTGAAGCAGAAGTTTTAACCTTGGCTACACCCCAAGCTTTGGCCAAACTCCAGGAGGCAGTGGAAGACAGGAAGACCTGGCGTGCTCTGGTCCATGGGGTCACGAAGAGTCGGACACAACTAAGCAACAACACCCCAAGCAATACTTATCAAGATCTGAAGGGAAACTGCTCCTGGCACCCAAGCAATACTTACCAAGATCTGAAGGGAAACTGCTCCTGGCAAGGCGAATGATCTCCGATGCTTTGAGGTTGCTAAGAAAGGGCCAAGGCTAAAGCCTTTTAACCCACAATGTTACTTTCTTTCACTCCAGCTCTGCACAGCTGCAGAAAAGTAACTCTTTTTCTTGTCTTCCAGAAGCAATCTGTGTGACTTCATATCATTTTTCTTTTACCTAAGCTATGGCACTGGAAGAAAGTTGTCGTTGGCTATCCATTTTCCCAGCTGAAGAAAGTTCTTGCACTAATATTATGGATGCACAACTTGCAAATAAATATAAAGGATGATAGCAGGAGAAAGAGGGCCATTCAACAGGCTGCTAGAAAAAGAGTCATGTATACATCGCTGACTCTTTTTATATCACACCGTATAAATGTTCTTGTTATATACCATCACACCCAACTGATAGTAACCCTAGTAGGGTTGCCATGGGTATGTGAAATATTTAAGGAGTGGTTTATCAGTGTTGCTGATTAGTTTCCATGGCCAAGCAGGGATTTGAAGCCAGGTCTCCTGAGTTGTAACCTTCCCTCTGATCACTACATCACCTTGGCTAGCCAGGTCTCCTGAGTTGTATCCTTCCCTCTGATCACTACATCACCTTGGCATTCACAAGTAAACTCGGTGTCTAAATTTGTCACCAATGTTATTGAAGGCAAAATACAGTACCATGGCATTCGCCAACGAAAATTCAGGAAAATAAAACCTTGTTATTGTTTTCAGGAAAAGAAGGGGCAAGTGCTGTTTTTGTTCTTTTCAGAACCAATTTTCAGTCTTAAATTGTAGCCAGATTTAAACAGATTGCACATTCTTCTAAGTCCTGCAACACCAGCAGTTTTAAAATCTGCCACTGGATAAATGTGGAGTTTGTACTGGCCCCCTTGCTCATGAGTCATGGTCAGAACACTACATTCTTAAAAGTGGTGTCTCCCCAGATTTCTGAGAAAAAATTGTAGTCTGGAAGATAACGCCACAAAAATATTACTGTTCACAGCTGTTACAGTCGACAGAATATGTTACTCGATAGACAGATGATCTTTTGAAGCAAAATTAAAATCATTCCAGAAAGAATTAAGCATGTTAGAACAGCTCATATTCAGAAACTAATGTGATATAATATAATGAATGTGTAATCTGGTACCATCAGACTCTGGCTTTGGTTTTTGTCTTGCAGAATTTGTCTTCACATACAATCTGGTACCATCAGACTCTGTGGCTTTGGTTTTTTGTCTTGCAGAATTTGTCTTCACATACATACACACACATCTATGAATTAATAAATCGAAGGCCAAAATTCAGTTGAACAATTAACCTGTGTGAAGTCCACCAGTGCAAATTTAAGCAGTAAATTTCTGCTACTTAGAAAGTTGCATTTGCATTTCTTTCTTTGTGACTGGTGTGCAACATGAAAAACAACTGCTAACAGGTGACAATTTGTTATGTACTGAGATTATGCCTATTGATCTACTCTGGTAGGCATAAGTAACTAACCACATTGTTTTAGCTGTGTAAGATGAATAAGTAGTGCTACAAGTCTATTCCTTCTCCTTTTTTTCAGATGTCTTTGTAAATTCTGATATCTTCTCCATAATAATATTAAAACATCATTGTGTCTCACTTTACTGGAAAGGCATTCTGAGTGATGTACAAAATTATAGCCAAAAATACCTTATAGACACAGTCCATAATAGAAAAACAGAAACATTAAAAACATAACTTAAAATGTTTTTAAAAGCTGATCATACTATCGATAAAACATTAAATATTTGCTGAAATAGTAAAGTTGCTAAGCACAAACTATGGAACAAAAACAAAGGCAGCTAGGCAAGTCCCCTCACCCTGGTTAGTCCTACATCAGAAAAGGTATCTTTTAAACAGCAGCTATAATTCTTTTAAAGATGAAGGCATATGAGCACTACTATTTCATTTTTCCATATACAGTAATTAATTTAAAGATCACTCTTTCATTGTGGGTTGTTTCTACCTGTTTTTTCTTAGTAGTCGTCATAGTCAATAATGTACTAAGGGACTGAGGATAATTTTCTATCAATTTACTGCTGCAGACTTTCAGAGTTAAAAAGGCAAGGATAGCCTGATTTAATTTAACAATATGCTAGACGTGTTTTACAATCAATGATTTTGAAAGGAGCCTTAGAGAAATAGTGTCAGTATCGAGTCACAAGGAGGCAAAGGAAACAGGTCTACAGTGACATACAGGGAACCCAGAGATTTATCTCAGAAAATAGAAAAGAATTCAGAAAACTTTTTTTCTAGATAGTTAAAAAACATTTACCTTGCAACTTAAATCATTCAGAATGGGCATATATTTCAGTACACTTAAATGAGAAGACAGATTTAATTACTATTGTGATGACACCAGAAAGTATATGAGAACACTAGCAACAGGAAATGGATGCTGTTGTGATGAAGAGAGAGAGAGAGATGAAGGCATATGAGCAGAGAAACATGATCAACTCTTGATATATTTTTATGGATTTATTTACATACCAGCTGACCTACTGAGGGTGATCTGTGTGCAAAAGCAGCCCCATTTCCTCTATCGCCAATGCTCAAAGGAAGGTGCAGGCTCAAAGAAACGTTTCAGCATGAATACAGAGTATCTACATTGTGCAGGCATTGATAAAGAAATGTTCAACATTATTCTTCTTCCCTAGAACATACTGTAGCAGCAGAGACAGACAGAATCTCAAGAGAAGGGGTGCCCTGCATAACCCCAGATCCCATTTATTTCCCTTCTGCTTCATCCACAAGTTCACCCAATACAGGATTTTGAACTGTTACTTCTTGGGGGCTGGAAATTCTAGAAACCTCAGCCAGGAAGTCATTGGGCCTTCTACTGCTGTTATATTATCTCTATTTATTATCTCTTGTAGTTCTTCAAATGCGTCTGTCTGAGATGGACTGCCTTACCCTACCTCATCCAGATATTGTTGGACTCCCACCATTCCTCACATTGTCTTTGCTGTCTAGAATTTATGGGAGTTGTAGTCCAGCTATATCTGGATGGATACACTTTATAAACTTGTGCCCTGGGTAGCTGCCAAGTGTGAAATTAGTTACTTTCTAAGACTATAATTCCCAGAATGCCTTAGTCAGAAAGGCCACCCTGCTGTCTATGAGATTCTGGGAATTATAGTTCAGAAGGGGTAAGTTTTCCAATGTGAGTGAGTGTGCTTGGGCACTCATGAAGGGTCAACCTCCTTGTCCCACTGACCCTTCATACATCCCTGCCAAGGGTATCTGTTAGGCATGGGATGGATCACTTTTCCCCCAGGTATTACCCAAGAGTGGACTCTCAATTGGAATCTGTAAACGAGTGAGACCCAGAGAAGCAGGAAGATGGGGAAAAGCCCATCAAGGGGATTTCCTTCCAGGTGGAGAATATAAAGGAGGCAGAGGAAGAGATGGACAGAGTCAGTGGGAAAGAGGAGAAAGACAGTGAGGTGGAAGGCTAGGCACATGTTTCAAAGTGACATGGCATGAGATGAATCCTGCTGTGTATGCTGGCTTGCAACCTCCAAAGGTAATCCTCTTCTGGTCCCTCTCCCGCTACTGGCTAAGAGGGCTTATTACAGAGGACCCTGATAGGCTTCCTATCACACTGTTCTCCACAGTGGACTAGCCACTCTCCTACCTAGCAGAGAGGCTTGTTATCCAGACTCCTGCCAGGACTGGGTAATCGACTGTGGACAATGGTGTGATAGGAAGCCTCCACGGATCCAACAGATCCGGTGAAATCGTGGGTGGACAGTCTGGCCCCGTGGGGCCGGACCCTTGTTATTTCCACCTGTGCGGGGATATTCGTATTTGTATACAAACATCCCCATCTCTATTTGAAAGCCTTGAACTGTTGTCTGGACTGTCTGGAGGAGAGGTATGGTGAAGGCAGCCCTCCTCTGCCCCTGAAGAGAGACTCTCTGGGCTAATAATTTCTCTATGGATAACTCAGTGAAAATAACTGCATGTTGGAAATGTAGCATAACTAGTTCGTACTAAATATATATTGCATGACACTGGGATGTTGTTTGTTGTTCCCATCCTTCAAACGAAGCACACCACTCTACATCTGGTCTCTGATGGATTTTGACAAAATTCACTTTTCTCTGTCTGGTGTCATAGTCACAACAAAACTCTGTGTTTGCAGGGACATCTTGTTCTGTTATGTGTACCTGAAATATGATCCTGCAAGGCAAAAGGGGTAAGAGGGTTCTCCTTTATGTGCAATAGAAATTTGTTGCACCAGATTAGGGACTGACCTAAAGTTGCTATAACCCTTGTCACAATTTTAAATTGGAGGTGATTATATCGAGACTCCAAACAGCATCTTCAATGTATTGGCCTCCCATTGTTTTCCCACCAGTTCTTTGATTAATTTTCTTGGAAAGAAAGAACTATCAAGAAGAAAAGACAGAATAGCTGCATGGATACATAGCTAGTTAAATCCTTGAGTGGATTCAATGAAAATAATAAATTTCTCTCTCATTTTTTTCTGTTGGCCATTTCTGGGTAAGACAAACAAGTCTGAAAACACAGCCAACAAATAATGTAGAGGGCTCCAAACCTTGGGCTTTCCTTGAGGATAAATGCAAGGTTACAGTGTTTTGAGGGTGTAATGAGGGTGAAAGAGGAGAGTGCAAAAAACGGTCTGAAGCTCAACATCAAAAAGACTAAATCCACCTGGAGTAGGAAATGGCAATGCCACTCCAGTATCTTTACCAAGAATGCCCCATGATCAGAAACAAAAGGCTAAAATATATGACGCTGGAAGATGGAACCCTCAGGTCGGAAGGCGTCCAACATGCTACTGAGGAAGAGCGGAGGACAAGTACAAGTAGCTCCAGAGCTAATGAAATGGTTGGGCCAAAGCCGAAAGGACGCTCAGCTGTGGACGTGCCTGGAAGTGAAAGGAAAATCCAATGCTGCAAAGAAAAATACTGCATAGGAACCTGGAATGTAAGATCTATGAACCTTGGGAAGCTGGAGGTGGTCAAACAGGAGATGGCAAGAATAAACATCGACATCCTGGGCATCAGTGAACTAAAATGGACAGGAATGGGCGAATTCAGCTCAGATGATTATCATATCTACTACTGTGGGCAAGAATCCCGTAGAAGGAATGGAGTAGCCCTCATAGTCAACAAAAGAGTGGGAAAAGCAGTAATGGGATACAATCTCAAAAATGATAGAATGATGTCAATACGAATCCAAGGCAGACCAATCAACATCACAATAATCCAAGTTTATGCACCAACCACCA